GGTTCGCTCGATAGATGTGTATATATATATATATATACACCATCCATAGAGAGAGAGGGACGGATATTGAGTGTATATGCGTAATTATACGTGTGTATATGAATATGAGCGCACAGCACTTACACACATACGTATATATGTATATATATATATATATATGTATATATATATGTGTGTGTGTGTGTGTGTGTGTGTGTGTGTGCATTTGCACATCAATCCATCCACTGATTGGAGCTGCTATCTGGTGTAATTCAGCCTTTGGCCCTCGCAGCTGGGCTGGTTGTCCATGTTGCTTAGCAGGTGGCCCTGGTACCCTTCCTAGTGCTTCTCGTGGCTCAGCGGGAGGCCCTCGTAGCTGAGCTGGTGGCCCTCGTAGAACTTTTGGAAGCTCTGGTAGCTCAGCAGGTGGCCTAGGTAGCTCTGCCAGTGGCTCCCATAGCTCAGGTTGTGTTCCTCGCAGCCCTGCTGCTGTTCCTAATAGTTTTAAATCGGGCCTGTCCCTCTACACTCTACAGGAGGAATATTCAAAAATAGTGAAAGAATAGTCAGGGGGGCTATTTTTGTCAATTTTGGAATATGTTTTCTGATTTTTTTTTTCATTTTTCGCCCCAACTCCGCCTGTAGGGGGACACGCCCGACCTAATAGTAGTTCAGCCTGTGGCCCTCGGAGCTCTGCTGGTTGCTTTTGTAGCTCTGCTGGTGGTTCTTGTAGCTCAGCAGGTGGCCCTGGCACCTCTTCTGGTGCCTCTCGTGGCTCAGCTGGATGTTCTCGTAGTTCAGCTTGTGGTGTCCGAAGGTCTTCTGGCGACCCTGGTAGCTCTGCTGGTGGCTGTAGCAATTCGGACGATACGCTCTCTTCGTAGTCCCCGAGGTCCGAATCGGAGTCGTCGGCTGCCAGGTCGTAGTGTTCCACGTCCTGGCGGCCAGTGTAGTCGGGGAGGTCGCGGCAGTACAGCTCGCTATCGAAAAAGAAAAAGCAGCCGTAGTCGTACTGGTAGTATGCGGCGCGGCCGTAATCGTATTCGTCGTAGGCGGCGCAGCCTTTGTCCACTTGGTACCTCTACGAATATGTACTTAGTAAGCCTTTTGGTTTGCTTGGTCGTGTTGTTTCTTGTGTCGGTCTTGGTGGCGTACTTGATGTCGTACTTGGGCTGCAGGTTACGCAGCTCTTCCTCGGGCTGCATGCTATGCATCTCTTCCTCGGTCTGCATGCTGCGCAGCTCTTCCCGTCCTGTAGTGGACGCCATCATGTAAAGGCGGTCGTAGCGATGGTCGTGATGTCGTTGAGGTGTGGCTGAAAGCCCATGGCGGATGAGGTAGCCCGCTTTCTTGAGAGTTGCATCTGTTCGTGCTCCTCTTTTGCGCGTATGGTCTCGGCATAGTTGCCAGTAGTCTCCACCGAGGTGGGTAAATCTCGTAGCCGATGTTGTGGATGTCCGGCTTGTAGTTCGTCAGCTGGTAGATGATCTTAATATCCCGGATGATCATCAGCTTTTTTTGGCTGTTGTTATGCACGTCGTGCGTGCGCCGCCACTGGCGGTGGCGTGCTCGGGCCAGCCCGCCTTTCCGCGGGTGGTGGGGAGCCCCCCCCCACAGGGGCGAGAACGGCCATCCTCCTCCTCCCCTCCTCCTCCTCCTCCTCCTCCTCCTCCTCCCCCTCCTCCTTCTCCTTCTCCTCCTCCTCCTCCTCCTCCTCCTCCTCCTCCTCCTCCTCCTCTCCTTCCTCCTCCACTTGGCACAGCTCCCCTTTCCGATTGCGCATCCCACACGCAATGTGGTCATTCGGGCGGTCCAGGTCCGCTGGGACATCCGTCGGCGGAGAGAGGAAACACCACAGCGCCATGGTCAGGAGAGAAAAAACACACAGACACAATTAATCGTAGATTCCCCAGAAATTATGGGAAAGTATGGGAAGCGGGGGGGGGGAAGACAAACACCCAGAAGATATGGGAGTGGATGGGAAATTCGGTTGTCTGTGCGCATTTGTTTGTGTGTGCTCCAGGGCCCCTTCAAGTGGGAAGAGCTGGGTGGGAGGGGTAGGCTGTCAGACAGTCATGGCGATAGTGCATCTTGCTTGCCTCCCTCCATCTCTGCCTTCCCCCGCCTGCATCCTCGCCATCCCTCTTCCTCGCCCCGACGTTTCTGCCGAGCTCGCTCCTCGCTCCCACACCCGCTCCCCCTCCTCGCTCTCTCGCCCCGGCTCCTGCCTCGTCGACCCCCTCCGCGCCTCCCCGCCCTCCTTCCTCTCTGCAGCGCTCCTCGCTCCGGCCTCCTGCCTCTCCCCCTCCCTCCTCTCGGCTCCCCCTCGGCTGTTTCCTCCTTTCTCCGAGGGCGGTGCCTGCGACGTCGCCGGCTCCGCCCGCGGCGACGGCAGGCGCTGTGCACCGTCCGAAACGGGCGTCGTCCGTGGCAGCGCCGTCCTGCGGCCCTCAGGGCAGGAGCGTCCAGTGCGAGGGGGGTGCCCATCTCTGGCAGCGTTCGCACGCTGGGGGTGGGCAGCCGAGCCGCACACGGGCAGGACCAGGGGCGCCCTCGGAAGCGGGCATGTTCTGAAGCCCGTCGCCAAGAGGATGTGTGTGTTTGTGCGTCTTGTATCTTGCCAACACGCTTGCATGCGAAGAGTGTACCGTGATGTGGAGATGCTGGCAATCTACAGGTTCTCAGCCGGAGCTCTCCCCCGAATTCGGCTCTGGCGTGGCGCGGGTGCTCAGCGCGCCAGAGGTGGACTCGGGCGGCTCTCGAGTGATCGTTGAGTTCTTGTGTTGGTGTGGCCGTTCTCGAGGCCAGCAGCGGCGCCGTGGAGGCGCCGCCAACAGCCGCAGGCCGCCGCAGCAGTACAGCCGCAGCAGTCCTATCCAGCTTGTTTAGTCGCCTCGGAAAGGGGCGTCACAGGTGCGTCCAGAAGCCGCAATGGTCGCAACGAGAAGGGGCGTCGCAGGTGCATTCTGTCCGTATTACGAAGGGTCCGACGAGCGCCTGACTACAGGGGTCATGGTTCACGCCCCTGGGCCGTGGTAAGTACCCGCTCTGACAGCCTGGGGAGGTCGCGATGTCACGAAAGAGGATTGAGTTGTTTCCTCTTTTCTCCGAAGGCAGTGCCTGCTTCGTCGCTGGCTCAGCCTGCGGCGACAGCAGGCGCTGTACACAGTCGGAAACGGGCGTCGTTCGTGGCAGCGCCGTCCTGCGGCCCTCAGGGCAGGAGCGTCCAGTGCGAAGGGGGTGCCCATCTTTGGCAGTGTTCGCACGTTGGGGTGGGCAGCTGAGCCTCATACGGGCGCCCTCAAAGTGGGCATGTTCTGAAGCCCGTAACCAAGAGGATGTGAGGTGTGTGTTGTGTCTTTTCGTGTGCGAAGAGTTTACAGTGTTGTGGAGACGTTGGCAACTTACATCATCCCCTGCTTCCTCCATCCTTGCCCCCTGTCAGAGTCAGCGGCCCCTGAACCCCTCGAACTTCCATGCGCGCGTGCCTCCAGCGCCCACTGAGGATGCCGCCCTGCAAGTAGCCCGCACCCTCGACGTGGAGGCATAGCTTGAGGAGTGGTGAAGCCACGCGCTACATCGGCTTCTCGCGCGGTGCATGGGAGTCCAACGCAAGACGCGGGCGCGCCCAGCGCAGCCTCTTCCACACCACCTCAGGCGCGTTGGCCCCGGGAACGTCCTCCACATTGAGTGGCTCGTTGATGTGGTCACCTGTCGAGCTGCTACTCCTGCCAATGTATGGCTCGGAACGGTGGTTGGCCACGCGCGGCCCTACTATCCCGTGCTCTCCACAGCGGGGTGTCCGCTAAACTCTTTTCCAGCTTGGATTCTGTGGCCAGTGAGGCCCAGCCTGCACCCACCAGTATTGACGCATACGCTGTCATGAGTGGCCCCGCTTCAGACGCGCCCCCCAAAGGGGTGCAATGGTGACCTCACCGGCGGTCGGCACCCTCGCCGAGGAGGTCATTCTCGAGGCAAGCCGCATCCCCGAGGTCGGTTTCCAGATCGAGGCATGGAGCAGCCACGCATTTCGGCCAGCCGCACGTGCGTCGGCTCGCCCGTTTTGCCGCGTTTCGCGTGCGCGTCACGCACGCGCACGGCCGGGTCAGAAGACACGGGCGCGCTTGCGTGGCCGAGTCAACCTTTCTCGCTTTGAGCGCGAGGCGCGAGAGGGGTTTACCTCCCTCCCCCCCGACCCTTCTCTGAGGCGGCACACCACCCAGCGATGGCGCCTACGGATGCCACGCAGGGCCCTCGCGTGCTCGGGAGGGAGCCCGCTGGCACACCGCCTGCTGCTTCCCAGCTCGCTGCGCGTGCGCGCTTGGCTTGGCCATGCTGGCCCTCCACGGGGCGCTCGCGCCATCCACTGCGACCTGGCCTTCTCTCACGTCGGTTTTCTCAGAGATGCTCGCTCCCTTTCCTTGGGCGCACAGCCATTCGCTACTATACCTTGTCGGCATCACGCCAGACTGGCTGGCATGCTCTGCACATCCCGATTGGTCATCGGGTCACTTGGTGTTGAAACCCCCGCGCCCCTGAGAGTTTGCCATGCGCAGCCTGCGCAGCGGGGCCCTGTGGACGCTCCCGGAGTGCCACAGCGCTAGCTCCAGCAGGCGGCTCACCACTTCCTGGGCGTTCCGCACGGCGTCGACGCTGGCCTGCCGCACGCGCCGCGCCCGTCGCCTGCCAGCAGAGCGTTTGCGCACCCAGCGCTGCCCTCGCCACCAGGGCCTTCTCGGCCCCGCAGCCGCGCGCTGCAGAGTCGCCGCCGCGCGGTGTGCACGCCAGCCTGCTTCTACCCTTGTTCCTCACCCTCCCTCATGTTTCCTCCTGTGCCTTCCCCGCCCTCTCTCTCTCTCTCTCTTTCCCTCCCTCCCTCCCTCGCCTCGTTCTCTGACCCCGCCTTCCCTCTTCTTTTTTTTGTTTTCTCTCTCTCTCTCTCCCGCCCTCTACCCCGTGCCTGCTCCTCCCCGTTCCCCGCCGGTGAGGGCTGCCACCAGCAGTTCCTTCCCCCCCCCCAGGCGCGAGCGGCGCTGGCCTGAGCAGCCTGGCCGCGGCGCAGTCCCTGGTGGCCCAGGCGGGGCCGCCCACGATCCGCTTCGATGCGGCTCGATTCGCCGGCTGGGGCCGCGCTTCCACTTGGATGCGATCTGGCTCCATCCGCCGGCATCGGCCCGGGCCAGCCGGAAGCGGGGCGCGGCGATTCGATACCCATCCGATTCGGGGCGATTGGCTCCGCTGTCGATCCGATCCGATTTCGCCATCCGCTCCGGCGCAGCCCTGCCAGGCAAACATCACGCCGGAGCAGCTGCTGCTGGCGGCCCAGCAGCTCGCCGCGCAGCAGCGGCAGCAGCAGCAGCCACCGCCGGCGGCCGGCGGCGGCCAGGGCGCGCCCAGCGCCGGCCTCGCCTCGCTGGAGCGTGGGCGCCTGCGGGGAACAGCCCTTCTCGCGTGCCAGGATCGGGGGCAGCGATAGGGGGGGGGGTAGGCATAGGGGGCACGCATCGACCCCCAATCGCCCATTGATCGCCGAGAGGGGCCCGATAGCCCCAGCCCGCCCAGGAAGGCGCGGACTCGCTATCCGGGCCCTATCGCCAATCTAGCGGCGATGTATCGCCGATTCCAGGTCGATGCATCCCCCCTATGCCAGTCCCCCCCTATCGTCGCCCCTCATAGGAGGAGGGACCCAGAGATCCAGCGTATTTGCAAAAATCAAGACGGAGGTCCTTCGCAGTTTTCGGCCTCTGGGTGCCCTCGCTGGGTCTCAGGACCATTGAAAATCGGGTCCTCTGGATGGGTCGAGACTTCCAGGGAGGCCGTGTTGAAAAAATCACGAAGTCGGATCTCTAGGGTCTAGGGATAATTATGGAGGTCGGAGCAGGATGAGGACCAGAGTATCGAGGTGGAAGAAAAAATGCTATATGCATACACTTTTGGCGCTCCGCGCGGATTTCTCGCAACGGCGCCTGGGCCCTCCTAGGCGGCGCCTTTGGCGGCGCCTCTGGCTCGCTCCGCGCGCCAGGGAGGGGCGCCGCCGCGGATCCAAGAAATCCGCGCGGAGCGCCAACAGTTTATGCTTGTGCCCGTTTTCTTATTTTCGCGTGCCAGGAGGGATGCGGAGGTCGGGGGATGATGAGGACCAGAGTAGCCCCAAGACGCATCGACGATGCTGCAGTACACCCTCCCGTCCCGAGTCCCCTCCTCGTGGACCCTGACACACAAGCCTTCCCTTCTGCTACACGAAGCGCCCGCTCGAAAGACGAAGTCGAATGGGCCTGCCCTTCCAGCGGGACTCCAGTTTTGAAAAGGAGCTGCCTGGCATCCTGCTGGCGAAAGTTTTGAGGCGCGCGGCAAGGAACACAAGAAGCCCGTTTTTTTGGAAGAGAGCCGCCCTCCATCCGTGTGGTCATGCATGAAGAGGGGAAAAGCACAGGAAACAATGAATCGTCGATTCCCCGGAAAAAATGAGAACGTATGGACTCGGAAGGAAAACGAAAACCTTGAAAATCTGGACAATTATGGTGAATCCTGGGATTAGTGTTGTGGAGGACGATCAATGGAGCGGAAGCATGTTGCTAAATAATTTCCAGATGCCTAAAGCATGTATTAAACATGTTTCAAGCATGCAAAACACTTGTTTAAACCATGTTTAGAACATTTTTCCGACATTTCAAACACATGTTGAATTCAATGATGGGACTGTTGGGGTGTCCATGGTCGTGGCATCCGCAAGATTTGTGTCTGTCTGTTTGTGTCTCCCTGGGCCCCCTCCCAGTGCACCTCTGCGACGCTGCAGGCCGAGAGCCCCCCCCCCCACGCGCTCGTGGAGAGGGGCGGAGCCGCCCTCCGTCCCTCTGTGGCGGGTGCTCCGCTCGCGGGGAGGGCGGCGAGGGCCTCCCGCTCCGAGGAGGAGCCGTCCCGCATCCCCAGGGAGCCCGCGTGCTGAACATCGGAAACTGGCGTACACCCTAGGCGATGCTCAAGAAAACTTAAGTTTTCGGCCAGAGTCTCGATTATTCTTAACGTTTCAATGTAAATCTTAAGATTTTAATGGGCATTTTTTCCATTTCTGAGACTATGAATTTCTTGACCCATGATTTCTTAAGCATTTCGCAGGGTGTACATTACACTACCAGTGGCGGGCCGTTCTTCAATCCGAGGACTTCTTGAGGGTCGGAGACGACGTCGGGGTGGTGTGGTGCATACTTGTGTCCCCGTTTTCCGGGGGGAGCACCGGAGAACGCATACACCAGGATCCCGTATGCACCAGGATCTGCTTGTCTGTGCAAACTTCAGTGCAGTGCCGCAGAAAGCATCGGTGTATAGAGTTCGGTTTCCTAGAAAAACACGACGCAGGTCTTTCGCAGTTTTCGGCCTCTAGGGGTCCTCGCCGGGCCCCAGGACCGTCACACGACTACTCAGCATGAAAGACCGGTTCTCGGGAATGGGTCGAGATTTCCAGGGAGCCCGTATTGAAAAAAACACGACGTCAGATCTTTGGGTCTTTGTGATGCGAGGTGCCCATTTTGGAAAGGAGCAGCTGCTCCTGCATTGTCGTGGCTGCAGGCTTTTAAGACGAGGGTGCGCAGCGCTGAGGCGAGAGCCCCCTTTTGAAACGAAGCCGTTCTCCGTCCTGGCAGCTGTGGAACACTGTACGACTAATGTGTGCGGCGCTGAGACGAGAGCCCCTGACTAGAAACGATTTTCAGACGAACGCGTGCCACGCTGAGGCGAGATCCTCATGATTAAACGACCCCCTTCTATCAGGGTAGCTGTAGGGCATGTCAGGATTTAGGATCATGAGTGGTGAGGGGCTCTCAAGCAAACGGCCCGACCCGACTCATGGGCTGACGGACACGTTTGGTGGTACGACACCGGGGGGATTGGTTCACAGGGGGTTCACAAGAAAAAGTGATGGATGAGGAGGGGAGAACTGTTAAGTCGGGCAAATTCCTCTACAGGAGGATTTATTCAAGAGTAGCACAACATAGTCATGATGGATCACCAGTTGGTCATGTCTGATTTTTCTGCCGAGATCCTCCTGCAGGAAGACCTGCCCGACCGCAGAAATGGGCCGTGATGGCAGTGCTCTGCTTTTCGGTATGCCTGCTTCGCAACCTGGGGACTGTGTGCGCAGCGTGCCCGAATCGATTCGCGCGTGTTGTTGGCGCGCCTCGGGCGAGGACAGCCTTGTCGCTCCCGCAGTGTGATTTTGGCCAGGCCGCCAACGAACTCCGCTGCCAGTGACTCGTGCTGCGGCTCGAAGTGCCAACCGCGCGTTCATGTATGTCAGGATGGAAGGGCATATGCTCATCCCAATAGTCACACGGGAACCCTCTGACAACTTGTACGGGCACATCTCGTATGCACGCCTTGGGTTGTCACAGCGTTACAGCGGTCGTTGCTTGTACACGACGGTCGCAGATGAATGATGGTTGAGCGTATTTGAGGGACCTTGCACGATCAAAAGATCCCGAGGACCCCTTCGCTGGCTGACTCACAGGTGCTCCTCTTTCTTTTGAGTGTCCTCTCTTATTTGACGGCTTCGAGATCAGGGAACGGGATGAGCAGGATGAGGGAGGAACGATGGGAGGAAGGAGATTGGGAGGGCGATGAGGGCAACGGCGGTGGAGGAGGATGCGAGGAATGACAGGAGAGCTTGACTCGGACTTGTGTGGCAGTCGGCCTGCCACTACTGCCATCGCTGTCGCTGCCACTGTGGCGTTTGGTCGTAGCCCTGTCGCTGCCACATGTTTTGACGCTGTCGCTGATGGCGCTGCCGCTGGTGTCTGCTCGAGACAGCCAAGTACAGTTGTTCGTTACCCCCGTCCGCCACCGCGCCGTCCGGCAGCCCAGCGCATTATGGAACAACAGGTAGAGTATCGGGCGAGCACATGCAGCATGGAGAACTGTGCACAGGGCACGCTTGACCGAGCGCACATTGTAGCAATTGAAGAGTGGTCGGTGTGTTTGGTGACCTGCGCTTTCTACAGGTGTACCCCCCCGTGCTTCCAAGCTTGGTTTGCGTCTCGTTGTTGCACCCTGCCAACCGTGCCTGCGCAGCACCGCAGCAGAAATGGGGTTGAGGCCAAGACCTGCTCCAGTTGAGCGCCCCGTCTGAACTGGCGGGGTCTGAAAGCCCCACTCCTTGTCCCCAGCCTCGTTTGTCCGCCTTCTTCTCCTCACTCTCGTCCTCCTCTCAATCCCTCTTGAAGGCAACTGGGACGAATCCCGCAAGCTAGTTTGGGGCCTCTTGGAGGTTTTTTTTTGGAGTTCCATCGTGGCATCATCGGTGACCGTTGGGGGGCCGTTGGGTCATCTCGGGGCGGTCTTGGGCGCGATTGTTCTGTTGAGCTCCGCCGATGAGGCCTTCTTCGGGGCGGCTTAGCGGGTCTTGGGGCCGTCGTGGAGCTCTTCGGGGCCGCACTGGGGCTTGCGTTGGGCCGCTTGGCCCGCGTTGGAAGATTCTCGGGCTCTCTAAACCTTCCCCGATGCGGTCTGCAACCGAAAAGCATCGGAAGGGCTCAACATTATGTTTCCGAAGGTTCTGCATGGTTGTCGGCCGCCTCGGGCCTCGCTGGATGCCCCTTTTGGCGTCTCTTGGGCGCTTCTTGAGACCTCTTAGGGGCATCTTGGAGCCTCGGGGAGATCGCTGAGCCGTCTTGGGCTGGTCTTTAGACATCTGGCAGCCATCTAATAGGGCTGTCTTTGATATTATTGGAGCCGTCAAGGGCGCCAGGAAGGACCACTAGGGAGCCATTTTCAGATGATGCTTGCTTCGAGGGGGTAGGTGTTGGCCCTGGAAAACTGTAGAAGGCACGCCACACCGTGTAGGCACGGGTGCTACGGGAATACATCGAAACACGCAGGGACGTAATCGCCATAATGCGCAGCGTGCGTTGAGCGAGTTGCGTCTGCAGCTCGCCATCCCCGATTCGGTCGTCGTCGCAATTGTGCAGTTCCCATGTCGCAGAGCTCTGTCACATTGTTCCTCGCTTTCATGCTCGTTGCGCGCTTTCCTACTTGTCTTGCCTCTCCGCGATCTGGGTGTGTATGAGCGGAAGTCAGGGGCAACGATAGGGGGGATAGACATGGGGAGGGACGCATCGACCCCACATCGCCCATTGATCGCCGATGAGAGCCCGATAGCCCCAAGCTGCCCAAGAGCGTGCGGCTTCACTCTCGGGAGCCTACCATCGACTTCTCGGCGATATAAGTATATATACACATACACATACACATACACATACACAAACATATATGCATACATACATACACACATACACACATCACACTACATTACATTACAGTACATTACATTGCATTACAGTATATTGCACTACGTTACAATACATCACATCCCATCACAGTCTATTACATCACATTCCATTACAGTACAGTGCGTTACATTACATTCCATGTCATAACATTCCAATCCATTACGTTATAGTACACTACGTCACATTACATTAAATGACATGACATTACATTCCACTACACAACATTACACTACACGACACGACACTACACTACACTACAGTGCATTGCATTGCATTACATTGCAATACATCACATCACATCACCTTACATTACACTACACTACACTACGTTATATTACAGTGCATTACATTACATTACATTGCATCACATTACATTACATTACATCATATTACATTGCATTACATAACATTACATTCTACTACTTTTTTACTTTGTATTACTTTACATTACATTACAATACATTACATTACATTATAGTACATTACATTACATTACACTGCATTACATTGCATTACATTACACTACATTACATTACATTAGTTTCATTACAGTACATTACTCTGCATCACATTATATTACATTACATGACATCACATTAGATTCCAATGCATTAAACTACATTCCATTCCTTACATACTTACATACATACACACAAACATTATACCAACCATTATTACATACATACATGCATACATACATACATCCATTCATGCATACATGCATACATACATACAACCACGCATACATACACACACATACATGCATACATACATGCATGCATACACACATGTATGTATATATGCATGCATGCATGTATGTATGTATGTATATGTGTATGTATGCGTGGTTGTATGTATGTATGTAGGTATGTATGTATGTATGCATGGCCTTCGGGCCGCCTGGATCCGGGCCTTTGGACCGCCCGGATCCGTGGCCCCGGGGACCCCCTGGATGCCCCTGCAGGAGGCCCTCCAGGCGTTTCAGAGCTCCTGGGAGCCCTTACTGGGCCTAGGCGACGGGCCCAAATCGGTCAGGAGGGCGGCCGAACGCCCCCCCGAGGGCCCCCAGAGGCCCCAGGCACCCACCATATGCCCGAAGACGACCCAAAGAAGACCCCCAAGAGGCTTCCAACAAGCAGAAAAACATAGATCTCCCATGGTTTTTGCATGATATTTGGGAATGCCCTTTTCCGAGACCGCCTGGAGGCTCAAAAATCGCCCCCAAACCATCTGAAAGGGCTTGCAGATGGTCCAAGAGCCCCAAGACGGCACAACAGGTTTCCAAGATGGCCCAAGAGAGCTCCATGACGGCCCAAGATGGCCCCAAGACACCCTCCGAAGCATTCCAAATCGTGACCCAGTCGTTCAGGCAGACCGCGGTTGGAGGCAGGGTGGCCCGAGGAAGCCCCCAGAGCGCCCCCAGAAGTCGCCCAGGCGGCCTCAAGAAGGCTTTAAGAGAGCTTGAACAACTTCCGTGAGGCCCCCAGAGGCTCCTCCAAGGAGGAGCCTCCGCAAAAAGAGCTGAGGAGGATGGGGAAGATTTCGCAGGGTAGAAGCATTGAGGAAGGATAACGAATAACATTATCATAACGGCGATGCCGGAAAAGGCAACAGGGAGTCATCGCTAAATCGTCTGTTTGACCTTCCTGCCGTTCCGCCTGCATGCCAAACTTCAAGGACCAAGGTGCGTGGCGCGAAGCGCCAATGCAGTCCTGTATATACATACATACATTATATATACATACATATACATACATAAATATACATACATGCATACAAATACCGCCGATTCCGGGTCCGTGTCTCCCCCCTATGCCAGCCCCTCCCCATCGCTGCCCCCCGGGAAGGGGGGAGGCACGGACGGGACCTCGCGAGCCTCCCGCCGGCGCGGATCCGCGCGCGAGGCCGCCGTGAGCGTGCGCCACTCCCGCGCGGCCGCTGCCGCACACAACCGCCGGAGGCTCGCGTGAGAGCGGGGGCGCGGGCCCCCTGTGAGGCCGGAAGGCGCGCTGCCAGGCGCGTCGCTCGAGGGGTGTTGACAGACGGCGTGCCAGATGTGGCGGGCTGGAGGGAGAAGGGGGTCCCCCTCCTCCCCCTCCTCCCCCTCCTCGTCCTCCTCGTCCTCCTCCTCCCCCCCCCCTCCCCCTCCTCCCCCTCCCCGTCCTCCTCGTCCTCCTCCTCCTCCTCCTCCTCTTCCTCCCTCCTTCCTCCTCCTCCTCCTCCTCCTCCTCCTCCTCCTCC